AATATAAAATATTTTTGGCCGACACCAACGCATAGCCGTGGCATCGGATTGACACCACAAATATTTTGATAGGTTTACTTTATATATGATGTCTTAATCAAAGTGGTTATGTCTTTTTCTTTGTTGGTATAAAATTAGTGGTAAATAGTCTTGCTATTTGTTCTTATCCTTTCGAATTAATGGGTTTCTCCAATGCAAACTTGACTTTTAAGATTTCTGAAATTTCCAGATTACTTTGATTTTGGTATTGTTGTTCTTTTCCTCGGTAGAAAATGACAAAAAAAAAAAAATTGTGTGACACGAAAAACTCATTGCAAACAAAAAAAAAGGAAATTGCCGACATTGGTCTTCACATTTTTAATCAATGGGATTTCAATTTTAGCCCATTACAGGCCCATTTTCAAAGGATCGCTTAAACGGGATTATAAGTTTCTCTACTATAACAGAACGTGAAAATGACATGAAGCAGATTCGAACAAACATTACCCGGAAACATGAACATCTTCGCAATTCGAACAATTCGACCGCCATAGACATCAATTCCTGTCTCTGAAAACGTGACACCCATGGGATCAATTGTTCTGTCTTTTCGCGTAACGATTTGAATCAGTAAAACCATGGGAATATATGTTATGCAGAGAAGGTGTTTGACGAAATTCCGCAGAGAAAACTTCTGGAAGATCTTTTCAGATTCTGACAATTAATTTGATATGGTGGCTTGTTTATGGGATGTTATGTTGATGAACGATGATAATCTTGGAACAAATTTTCTCAAAACACATCCATAACACAAAGCCAAATCTTTGTAGGTATACAGATATAAGCTATAACCACACAAAGCCATAAAACAAAGAAAAAGAATGTTTTTTGTTTTTTTTCTCCCCAACACAAAGCAAAACCCAACAAAATAAATAAAAGTACCTGAAGAGTTTAAAGAACCACATGACTCTTTTTTATCACTTGACTTTGATTTCTCCTTTGGCTTCTTCAGTTGAAATGTTCTTAGAGCTTGGAGATTTTCCAATGATTGCTTTCTTTGCCTTAACAAGAGATTGCTTTACCTTTGACATAATGCTGCTTGATTGCTTTTGCTTAACAGAAACTTCTTTGGCTGTGATTTCTGGTTCTTGTTTCGGCTCCTCGCTCTCTTTAACCACCGGTGCTGTTTCTACAACCTCTGTTGCTTTCTCTGTAATGGATTCTTCTGGTTTGTTTTCTGCAGTTTCTTTCTCTCTTGATTCTCTATCAGCTTCTTTCAAAGTCTCTTCGCTCTTGGCCTCTGCAACAGCTGTTTCTGTATCTTTCTTGATGTTCTCATCTTCTGCAGCTAGTTTAGTAACGACATCTTTGGCTTCATTCTCTTTGTCATCCTTTGGTGGTTCTTCCACCACATGCTTCTCTTCAGTAATGGCCTTCTCAATGACATCAACAGGAGAAGAATTGTCTCCTTCAGTCTCCTGTTTGAGGATTGTGGCTAAATTTTGGTTTGTCGGTACAAATTTCTCAGGGCACAAAGCAGAACCAGATTCAGAAGATTTTTCATCCTTTGATGGTTCTTCCACTACATGCTTCTCTTCAGTTATGGCCTTCTCAATGACATCAGCAGGAGGAGAAGAAGTGTCTGAATCTTGGATTGTTGTCGGTACAGTTTCCTCAGGGGACAAAGCAGAAGCAGATTCAGAAGTCTTTTCATCCTTGGAGTTGATACCAGAGTCTTTGGTCTCAACAATTGTTTCCTCTAGCTCAACTTTAACATGTTCGGTTGTTTCAGGTGTTTCCTCTGCCTTAACTACTTCAACTTCTGGTGCCAATTCCTTTGCTTCCTCAGGCTGAGTCTCAACTTTTTCAGAAGCCTCCGGCTTTGGCTCGGCTTCAAGAACCTCAACATCTTTGATTTTATCTTCTACAGTCTCTGCAGATACATCTCTAACAGATTGAACATCAACTGGCTCCACATGTTTCCCTACGGCTTCATCTGTATCAACTACCTTCGTCTCCTCCTTATCTTTATTGTCTTTTTCAACAACACCCTCCACGGTTTGCTTCGCTTCTGCTTTCTCCGCATCAACGGGTTCAACATTAGCCTCTTCAACACTCTCTTTCACAAGGATTGGTTCTTTAAGCTCCACTTTCTCATCTCCTTTCTTCTCACCATTTTCATCTTTCTCTTTCGCTTCTGCTTTCTCCTCAGCAACAGCTTCAACTTTAACATCTTTGACAAGGTTTGGTTCTTGAATTTCCACTTGTTCATCTACCTTCTTCTCACCACCAATTTCATCTTTCACTTTCTCTTCTGCTTTCTCCTCATCAACCGCTTCAACTTTAACATCTTTCACAAGGTTTGGTTCTTGAATTTCCACTTGTTCAGCTACCTTCTCACCATTTTCATCTTTCCCTTTCTCTGTAGATTCCTCTGCTTTCACAACTGCCGGTGATTCTTTCTCCGGTTCACTAGCAGGAATCTGATCAATCTCCTCTTCCTTTGTAACCGTCAGGTTTGAATCTGAAACCGGTTTATCCTTCACCTCATCCGCAGTTTCCGGCAAAACAATCTCTTTCTCCATCAACTTAAGTTCCTCGTTCACCTTGTTCTCCAGTGGCTGTTTCAGGTAAAAAAGTAAAACCCTCTTTATAAACTCTCTGTTATAAAAACCAACCCCTTCTTATATAGAAAACACAAAAGTAACAAGATTTTTCTAGAAAATAGACAAAGATGGTACTATTTTACATCCATGTGACCATGTGCTATAATCTACAAGTTTCTAAAAAAGTTTCTAATAATTGCTCCAGAATTCTCCAGATTGTTACAGAATAAGAGGATTAAAACAAGGTTAAACATTCCAAAACAGTGGATGATACAAACCAAAAATCTTATCTCCTTAACTCTATCCAAACTTTCACAATTGCAGGTATCAACAAC